GGTGCGTGCCTGTAGTTCCAGCCACTTGGAAGGCTGAGGCGGAAGGATCACCGTAGCCCAGCAGGTCGAGGCTGCGGTGGCCGGGAGCGGCCACTGCTCTCCAGTCTAGGTGACAGAGTGAGACTCCAACACACAAAAAAAAGAAAAGAAAAAAGAAAAACTGATTCTCATGCAGTATCTATTATTCAGCTATATGTATATATATACAATAGCCCCAAATGCAATTTTTTGTCACTCCTCTTTATAAAAACCAAAACAGCAATGGCAATGATTAGAATAAGGTCATTTTGGTTAACCATGCTTTCAAATCTGTTTTTCGCTTGCCTTGCTACTCAAGGAACATTAAAACTATTCAGCAAAAAAGTTGAAAAGATCTTTAGCAGGTGGTGACATAATAAAACAACAATATAGTTTTTCTAAAGTTAAACAGAAATCTGTGACAAGAGAAAAAATTTTATGAGATTAAAAGAAGACTACATGGTAAATTCTACACACCAAGTCAGTGTTCTTGCACTATCTGGGCAAATCAAGGTATAAAAGGTTTCTCATTTAATTATAATAGACAATATTTAAATGTAGAATTGGCTCAAGGCCTTTCAGTAAAAAAAACACTTATTGAACACTTATACCAGCTAGGCAGTCCTGAGTGCTTTACATAATTTGTATTTGTCATACAAATTTTTAAAATTATTATCATTCCCATTTTAACCGATGAGGAAATGAGGTACAAAGAGGTTATATGAGTTGCCCAATGTCAAACAACTGATGTAAAAACTCAGATTTTACTCCAAGATGCCTGGAATTCAAGTGTAGATTCTTAACCACAGTACTATACCTGCCTTACCACAGTTGCTCTAGAACTATTTGCATAAAAAATCACTTAATTAAATTTCATTGTTCTTTATTTATAAGCTAAGAGAACTAGCCTGCATTAGACTCCCTCTAAAGTCACTTCCAATTCTAAAAGCAAGAAAACTTATGGTTACCATACTTTTTCTCAAGTGCAATTTTCTTAAGCTTCTTGCATTTATTAGTTAACAGTATTTTCCATCAACCTCATGATTAAATTAAATACATACATTCAGAAACTCAATTCTTTTCTAATAATATTTCCTTGCAGTAAGACAATTAATTGAGACACCATGGTTTATTGGAGTAGGGATAGAGAAGCTTAGTATCTGGTCCAAGTTGTCTCACTGACATGTTATGCAGCTTTGGTTAAGTCAATTAACTTCTCTTGAACTATTCTTTTAGGTGAATAGATATTTTGTTCTTATTCTAGATTTGAAAAAACTTAAGTGATAAAAAGCAGAAATGATCAACTTTTTCTTAATAATTGAGTATTTAAGCCTATCTTTTTGCCATTTTATAGTATTACAAGTATTACTCATACGTTCTCAACAAAGACACCCAGGAATAGATAAAAGAAAGAAAGGGCAAGAGATACATCTATTTATTTTGCTAATTATTAATAAAAATGGTGTGAAAGGAGGCAGAACCTGCATTAAACTTAGGGTCTCAACTGCTTTTGCTGCTCCTTTTCTCCACTTATAAAACAAACACAAATTGCTTGCATAATCCTATTTGTTTGCTTTTTCAGTGTGCCTGTCCCTTCATTATTTTTATATGACTTTGGTGAAGGCCTGTATCTTGTGCTTAATACCTTGTAGTTAACTAGAAACTCTGAGGAAGATACACATTTGAAGTAAAATTACTACATGAATCTAAACCTATCTTAGGGAAAGAGGTATCTGTTCATTATTGATGTCAACTCAAAGTGCTTCTCTTTCTCTAATGATGATCCTTGTTCAAAGAGTGTGCTTAGGAATCTTGAAATGTTATCTAGAAGCAAATTCATTTAATTTACTTATATGAGGATACTTTTATATAATAAAATAACGAACATCACGTATCAAATGTAAAACTTCTTTCTGCAGAAAGTGGTCACTAGCCATATCAAAATAAAATAAATTCTTAACTTTATCTACAAATAAATCCAATTAACATAATGTTGTGATTTATAAAAGCAGTTATGGGTAGAACATATTTGGAACATGAAATATACTACCTTCATGGAACTCTATATGTAGAGACTAGTTAGTGATTCTTATTTTAATTTCTTTATTCCTACCTGGGTAAGTAAGAACACTTTCATCACAAGAAAATTACTGACATATACTTCATTTTTACATATCACATTATATAACACAAATATCAAAGTATATAAAAATATCTTCCATGTGCAAGACATTAAACTATTAAACCATGGTAATTATTCTTAACTCTATTTATTTGGCTTTCTACTTTTTATCAACTATTTATTTATTTTTGTTTTAAGATGTGGGGTACAACTCAGGATTATGTATACAAATGGTCATTATGCAGGTAAAGTTTGGGCCTCTCTTTGGTCCCCACTTTACCTGGTTTCAGATCAGGTACCCTTATTGATGCTATGACACCTCCCCTGGCAGTTCCTGGCTACTACCAATACTTTTCTTATAGTATTATGGTCAGTGTTCAGGGTCCAATTATGAATGAGAACATGTGGTACTCAGTTCTTTGTTTCTGTGATACATCACTGAGTATTATAGACTCTAACTCCATTCAAGTTGTTGCAAAGTCCATAATTTTGTCCTTCTTTACGGCTGCACAATATTCCATTGTGTATATGTACTACATTTTTTTATCCAGTCCAGTTTTGATGGGCAGCATGGTTGGTCTATGTTTTTGCTATTGTGAATAGTGCTGGATTAAAAATGTGTATGCAGGCATCTTTTTTGTAGAGTGATTTAAGTTCCTCAGGGTATATTCCCAGAAGGGAGATTGCTGGGTCTTATGGAAGGTCAATTTCTAATTCTTTTAGGAATCTCCACAGTTTTCCATGGAGGTTGAACTAATTTGCCTCCCTACCAACAGTGTAGAAGCATTCCCTTTTCTCTGCATCCTCGCCAACATCTGTTTTTTTTGTTTTGTTTTGTTTTGTTTGATAGTCTTTCTGACTGGAGTTAAGTGGTATCCCAATGTGGTTTTGATTTGCATTTCTCTAATGATTAGTGAAGCTGAGCATTATTTTCTTGTGTCTGTTGACTGCTCATATGTCTTCTTTTGAGAAGTATCTATTCATGTCTTTTGCCCACCTTTTTTTTTTTAACTCATGGTACAAAAGTATTTAATAAGTGATACATCAGTATAGAAAAGCACACAGCTTGTAGCTTGTCCTTGAAAACCAGAAGAGCCAAGTGAAAAGTCAGTACAGATTATTTTACTTTAAGAAAAAAAAAAAACAAAGGTACACACTGGGAATTGAATTACTATGTTTTTTCTACTTTGTAGAGATGACATGTTTTCTGTTAAGTAATATGCTACCAAACATTGCACTAAACCAAAGCAGACAGATGACTGATAAAGCTGTTTGCTACCTCCTACTCATGCTGAGGTAGACCAGTGGAACACTGACTTTGTAGGAGAGATCTGGACAGGAGGAAGAAATTGCAAAGTCCCTGCCTCCCCTGGCAGAGAACCTAATAAACTGGTTTACACAGAAAGAATTTTCAGTAAACATGTAAACACACTAACATGCTGTAAGAGCTACTGTTTAGTCTATTTCCAGCACACAGCATATATTCATTGATGCCCAATATCAAAACACCAACGTAGAAAGCATTTTTGCCTTCATAGCACTAACAGCTAAAAAGCACACAGCATATAATACTTTGATCTTTAAGTGGGTAATCATGGAAATTCCAAGATATTGCCACTAGGTTAACTTGAGTTTTCATCTATAAAAATATTTTTTTCAAAAATAATGCTTAAAAGGGATTTCTAGAAACAGTGTAACTATATCAGGATCAGCAGAAGACATGGTGACACAAGGACTGCAAATGTGAAGACTAGGAGTTGGCTCTCATGAAACTTTTAGGTAAAAGACATCACTTTCTGATGACTGCTACAGCCAAGACAAGCTGTGATTACAGGAGACTCAGAAATCTCAAGACGGGCAGCTAGCTTGAGTAATACCCTAGATAAATATCAAAAACCCCACTGAGGCCGAAGAACTGAAACTCTGACCCATGTCAAAGAGATATGAGCACATAAAAAGATTCATGCAAAGCCTGCTGGGACACAGAGGGTTTGTGGTGGTGGATAGTCCACGCTCCTGACATGCCAACATGTATGCTGGAGGAAGGGGTCCCAGGTGGAATGCTCAACATGGGCTTCCTCCAGAAGAGTTGGACTCAGAAGTGCCCAAGAGAAGTACCTGCCTTGGGGAAGGGAAGTGGACTAGGGTTACTAATGTACGCAGGGAGGAGTCCTAAGGTTCATGAATACAAGAAGGTGTTTCGGAGAAATAGGTCTAAGAGAGTCAGGTCATTTTATTTTTGACCCATCAATACTTAACAGGAATGAAAAGTTGCAAAACAGTCAGTCCTTCCAAGATGTATTCTTTTGTCATCATTAGCTGAGCCTATTGGCCTACTGGGCCAGTGACATCTGGAACGATCCTATTCCTTGGCTGGAGGTAGGACCTAGTGCCATAAATTGTTCTGGGAACCTGGCATAGAAGATGATTTGCACAACGAAGTCACCACTAAACCACTGCTTAAGTCCAGTCCCCCGCCTTCTTTTTCTGCTTTGTAGGCCAGGAACATTTCTTTAAAAGCCAGAAAATCCATGAATGTGAGCAGCATGTGGAATATATCACCAGCCACTTCATCTCTATGATGCTGTAACGTTGCTGTGAAAGCTGCCATGTTGAATCCAGGAATCCGCTCCAGCAGCTGTTCTTCGATATACTTTTCTACCAAAGAAATATATTCATTAAAAATAGGGGTGTAGGTAAGTTTATTCTCTTCTGTGTCTTCAAATTCCTGGTAGTACTTGTCCATGAAACTTCTCTGTAACAACTGGAACTTATCATCCATGATAATATCCTCTAAATATCCAACCACAGCATCAAATTCTGCATCAGAAGCGGAAGAGGAGCACAGCGCCAAGCTCTCTTCCTCTAAGGCGTTCATTGTTGCCGCCGCCGCCCCACCGAGTGGGCGAGCGGGCCGGGTGGGCGCCTACCCAGCCCCCGGCCCTCGCCCTGCTGCCTCTCCGCTCTGCACAGCCCCGACCCGCATCTAGGGCACAGCGGTCGGTCGGCCGGCAGGGGAGAGGCCTCGCCACCCAGCCCGGCCTGCTTACCGCCCGGGCGGCTCAGCGCCTGCTCGCGAGGCAGGGCCTCAGGCTTCTAACGCCGAGTCAGGCCGCTCTGCCCACATTTTTAATGGGGCTGTTTATTTCTTTCCTTTCAGCACACGTGTGTTCCTTATAGATTGTGGATGTTAGGCCTTTGTCAGGTAATAGGTGGCAAATATTTTTTTCCCATTCTATGGGTTGCCTCCCTGCTTTTTTTTTTTGAGTTGGAGTCTCACTCTGTCACTCAGACTGGAGTGCAGTGGCCGCTCCCGGTCACTGCAGCCTCGGTCTGCTGGGCTCCAGCGATCCTTCCGCCTCAGCCTTCCGAGTAGCCGGAATTACAGGCGTGCGCTACCACGCCCGGCTGATTTTTTGATTTATTGTAGAGATGAGGTCTCGCTGCCCAGGCGGGTCTCGAACCCTCGGGCTCAGGCAATCCACTCACCTCAGCCTCCCAAAGGCGCGGGATTACAGGCTGAGCCACCGAGCCCGGCTGCCTCCCTGCTTTCTTGATGGTGTCTTCTGCTTTGCAGAAGATTGTCAGTTTGATGAGGTCCCACTTACTATCTTATATCTTATGGCATGGGTTTTGGGGGTTTTGATCAGGAATTGGTTGCCTATTTCGATTTCCATAAGGGTATCTCTCCTGCGTTTTCTAAGATTCTTAAGGTTTATCATTATAACTAGCACTTTCTTATTTTTTATGAATATATGCAGGAAGTAGTCCAAACAATTATGATTATGAGGCATCAAAAAGTCTCTCAAAATGCTCACAATATTAATTTTCTGCATGTGGTCAGCATCAGCTAATTTCAAAGCAAACTACTATAATATGTTGAGAATAGATTCTACATCTCCCCAAAAAGAATAAATTGTGCATACAAAATCTATACTGCTACAATGTAATAAGAGGGGGTTATCAGGAGATTAATGAAACAGCATTCAGGGTCACTTTTCATAGCCCAAAACATATTTTTTTAAAAATTATCTTTTTTTTCTAAAGAGGGTTCCCCAAATTATTTAAGATTGAGGTGATATAATATTTTTTTGGAATAAATATATGAATCCAGCCCTATTTTTTTAAACCTATTCTTTTTGTTGTTGTTGTTGAGTTGGAGTCTCACTCTGTCACCCAGACTAGAGTGCAGTGGCCGGTCCCGGCCACTGCAGCCTCGCCTGCTGGGCTCCAGCGATCCTTCCGCCTCAGCTTTCCAAGTAGCTGGAACTACAGGTGCGTGATACCACGTACGGCTAATTTTTGATTTATTTTAGAGATGAGGTCTCGCCAAGTTGCCCAGGTGGGTCTCGAACCCGCGGTCTCAGGCAATCCACTCACCTCAGCCTCCCAAAGCACAGGATTACAGGCTGAGCCACCGCCCAGCTTAACCTATTCTTAAAAATTGATCTCAAGTCTCACCTCCAAAAGCCTTTCCTGATGACGACTATAGGATATATAGTCTTTCTCTCAGAACTTTTATGGTACTCTGCCAGTACTGCATAGGCCACAGATTCTACCCCATTATTCTATATTGTACAACCCTTGTAATCAGACAGGATTTTGGAATCAGGTATTTCTGCCACTTTTAGTTTTATGCCTTTGGGAGATTATTTAAATTATTTGTTACTCAAGTGATTCACTTTAAAAATGGGGAGAATGATACATACCTACCGCAGAAGAGGTAAATTTTTCAGGAAGCTAAAGAAGCTACCCTTCAAAGAGTCTGTCACTTGTACTTGTTCCTGGTACTTGGTTTTATAACCATAATTTTGTATTGTTTTCCTAAATGGGGAACCTAAAATTGTATAAACTTCAGGAACCACAGACCCTGGATCCACCCCTGCCTATAACATCAACAACAAAAACAAATATCTAGGTCCAACATGCTCAAAACAAGAACAGTTATCCAAAAATTCTTAGCTCAGGGACTTGGATAATTCAGAGCAATGGCTCCAGAATATTCAGGTCTGATTTCAAAGAGACGTATATTAATGTTAGAAAAATTTTCTTTAGATAGTCAACTGCAAAGGAACGAGTTAAAAGAATATAAAAGTTTGATCTTAGTCCAGGGTTTATGATGGCAGTATACCTGAATACCTGGATAGAAATGATAAAGTATTTCCTCTAGTAAGTATCCTCAAAAACAATTGTTTCTTAAAAAGGAAGGTAAGAATGATGGAATATTATTACAACTGTTTAGTAAGAGGTAATTTACATTCAGGTTTCCTTACATTTGGCTATGAATCATCATAGATACATTAAAGCTCATACAAATTTTATCATTAAAACTGAATAATTATTTATAAAATAGATGTTATTATGTGCCGTTTTAGAAATTTTCTTCACATCTTCCATTTTATTGTAAAACAAAAAAATTTATGCAAAAATATTAAAAATGCAACATACAATAGTAATATATTATAGATATCAGAATGCACAGAGCAGTTAAAACATTTCAAGAGCAAATATTTATTTGAAATGCAAATACTACGGTTGTTATATTATAGAGAAAATAAGAGGTATATTTTCTCTGCACTAGAAATTTTTAAGTTTCCAACTTAAAACATATATGTAATAGTTGTTACAGAAAATTACCTAGTCATTTTACTCCAATTTTTACCAAATATGCTTGTAAGCACTAGAAAATCTACTGCATAGTAATGGATTTTCTTTTAAAACTAAGACTCTATTGTCTTCAAAGCACAGCTAAAAAAAAAAATTGGTCAGCACACTGAAACCTATCTTCCTAAATAAAAAGACTAGACCATGTTTCTCCACTTCAAATTTCCTTTAAATTTGAAGACTAAAATGTATCTTAGCTTTAAAATAAATATAGGAGATAATGTGTTTTTGTAAAAGGTAGTCTAGTATACTATCACTTGCCACCATGTCAAGGTTATCAAAAGGCAAAAGCAATTCTTCATAAGTGAATATAAAAATTTGGGGAATTAGAATCTCACTTCAAGAATAGTAAAATAAAATAAATGTTACAAAATACTTTCTCACACAATTAAAAGTCTGACTGATGTGTTCAACAGACATTCATTATTATTGAGTACATGAGTGCAAGAGGATTCAAAGATGAATCAATGAGACACCAGAGTTCTTGTTTTCAAGGAGCTTACATCACAACCTAGTGGTGTTGAGTATATGTAAATTTTTAATGCCCTTAATTGTCTTGGGTTAATGCACAAGTTCATAGTGTTTTTTGCTTGCACATGGAATACAAATGTCACATGGTGGCTGACTGGTCACAGTTCATCACATTTGCCAGTTCTTGGGTTGTCTTACATGGATCATCATGGATTAGGGCATTTAAACCAGCAGTTCCCAACCTTTTTGGCATCAGGGACCAGTTTCATGGAAGACAATTTTTCCACAGACTGGGGGGAGGGGGATGGTTTGGGGATGATTCAGACACATTCACATTTATTAAGCACTTTATTTCTATTATTATTACACTGTAATATATAATGAAATAATTATAAAACTTACCATAACGCAGAATCCGTGGGAGCCCTTAGCTTGTTTTTCAGCAACTAGATGATCCCATCTGGGGGTAATGGGATACAGTGACACCTGAAATGTGTTGCTTATGTCCAGTCTACACTGAAATCTTGTTTTGGTTGCTGTCACTGCAGAAAACCCTGCTTCACAAAGATAGGATGTTGGAAATGGAATCAGGCTTTCCAGTTCTTTTGTGGCAATCTCAGGATATTCTGCCTTGACCTTAATCCAGAACATACGTAGATCTGAAGGTGTCTCAAGCATACTTTTAAGGCTACTGTCATTTGTAATCTCAAGCAGTTCATCCTCTTCTAGCACGGACAAAGTTGATTCACCTGACTTATTCACAAATGGGTCACGGATCCATTTCTTCCCAGTTCTGTGGTCTTTTGTGGTTGAGAAATGTGCACATTCTTTTGAAAGCTGAGAGAGGTGATCATGTACCAGCTGGGAGAAACAAGGTCCTGGCCCAGTCCTTTTCAAAATTTCTACTAATGTTGAAATATATCAAAAATTCCAATGTTCACTCATCACCCCTATAATTCCAGTTTGGCTTTGAATGTAACCACTTTAACTGCCAACTTGAACACAGTTGTCACTCTCCCCTGAAATGACAGATTGAGTTCTTTGAGCAGGTAGAATATGTCACACAAGTAATCAAGTTTTGAGATTCATTCTGTGTCACTGAAGTGTACTGCCAGTGGTGACTATTTTTCTTAAAGAACTCTCTGGAGCAACTCTCAGAACTCAGAAACTTTAGCCAGTGATCTCCCTTTACAAAGCCATCTCACTTCTGTGCGTTAGATTTGTGTGCTCTGCATTCATCTCCTCACAGAGCTATGAAACAGATGTGAGTTAAGGGCATGTATTTAATGTGGTTGATAACTGTAATCACATCCTTCAAAATGCTGTTAAGTTCAGGTGACATTTTTTGGCTAGCCAGCATTTCTCCATAGGTACACAGTGCATAGACTCACATTCAAAAGTGACCTCTTTGACTTGAGTAGTGAAATCAGAGAGTCGTCTAGTCATGGCAGCTTCTCTGTCTGTGCATATAACCACACAGAATGACCAATTCAGTTTTCCTGATATGTGATCATTCAAAGACTTGAATAGCTCTGCAGCTGTGGTATTAGTTGGCAACAAAGGTGCACATAACAGATCCTCATGCACATCCTCCCGAAATACGTATCACACAAAAACAAGCATTGTTGCCCTGTCAACATCAGTAGACATGTCAATCTGAATTACGTACCACGGTGACTCACTAATCCTCTCTAACAATTTTGGCTCAATATCCTCTGCTATTTCATCAATTTGTCTAGTTATGGTGCTAGCCAA